AGACAGTAATGAAGTCCAGAGGGTCTGACTATTGTTGTTGTTTTTTGAAACTTTAAGTTTTCGAATAATTAGCGAAGTTTAAATCGATATTGAATCGATATGAAACAGTATGGAATTTGCGCCTGATTTTCTTAGAGCTTTAAATTCCCGGTAAATCCGACAATTACAAATCTAATATCAGATACATGATCATCCGAGAATCCAAGATTTTACTCTCAGCACAGATTCTCTGATAGTTATTCGATAATGAAAACAAATACAATACCCCCACCTTCGTTGCAATTCTGCATATATTATACACGCACCAAGAAGTCTCAGTGTATGTCTTCGTAGCAGAGGAAGACAAGGTCTTCAGAATCTTCCGCCCGAAGGCTTAGAGCGTTAAAAGTTTGTGTTATTTTCAGTTATTTCACACAGTTTTAAATCACTCTTCCTTATCTTGTGTATAATTAGAATGATTAATGATACAGCACTCTTTTATTATTTTGTACCGACTTAAGGTGACAAATCTACCTTTATTTGGACTTTTGACGCCGCCACTCAACCAAATAAACTTCCGGTAAAACTCAGAGGTGAAACGCCGTCTACCGAATGAGACTTGTGGCGGCACATGCATATAGTACAAATATTGGACGTTACCGTCTTGTCACAACGGGATGTGCACATCTCTCTGTTCTAAAGACAGGAAATAAACATTAAATAAATGTAATGAAAAGAATCATATCATCAACATCTTATATGTATAAACACATTATTTTGTTTAAATTGTTGGTCATAACGCACAACTACGATAATGCCACGCCCGGGTGTAATTTTGTGTAAACTGAACTTCATACTAATTGAAAAAAAAAACAGTTGCACGGTTGGTGTTTATCTGAAGCTAGTGTACACTGCACATACATATTTTAACGTAAGTTTATATGTTATTTACACATTAATCTGCTGTTGTTTTGCCATTGTCATTTTATTCCAGAAAATTGTATGAAATTATCTCTTAAAACAGGCATATTTATGCACTAGTTTTTTTTAGAAAATGTTATTGCTACACACTGTTAGAAATTTGTATTTCTAAAAATGCAATAAACTATATAATTATTATTTCATACATGTCTAGGTTTTATTGAAATATCGAAACAAATCCAATTTTTTTTGAATAAGAAATAATGAATAACTTTTGACATTATAGTGGTCCAATAGGACACTGTCCACCACGGTTGCTACAGTAACCGTGTATCCATTGACCAAGTCAAGTATGGGAGTGGAGACACGTGATTATGCATAGTTACTTACACGGGACATCGAATTTACGAAGTTGATGGTATCAAACATGTGTGAAAATAACATCAAATGGTGTATATATTTGTTTACCCCTGGAAGATGGGAAAAGTAGGTGGGGTTAACTGTTCATTTGTTTCCGATAATCTTCGAGAAGTACTTGACGATTCAAGTCCTTCAACTTGATATCCATTAAACAGATTGTTTATTTCGAAGATAGATCATTGGTTTTAAGATATAAGGAGAACCTAGTTAGCAAGTCATCAGGATTTTATGTACACTACACTACACTACACTACACTACACTACACTACACTACACTACACTACACTACACTACACTACACTACACTACACTACACTACACTACACTACAATGCACTACACTACACTACACTACACTACACTACACTACACTACACTACACTGCACTACACTGCACTACACTACACTACACTACACTGCACTACACTACACTACACTACACTACACTACACTACACTACAATATCCTAACGTAATAGTATACGCGGACAGAAATCTCTTTTAGGTTCAGCTGTAAAATTAGTAATTATTTGCGCATTTTTTTTGCGTAATTTACAGAAAAATAAAATTAGCACGAAAATAATATAGAGCAATTATTTTGCACTAATAACATGAAAAGTATTTATATATGGTTATATGTTAATTGCATTGAAATCCGACCAGTGGTTTCGGTGATACCAATGGGACAATTACGCTGCGTGTCAGACACCTGCGTGATGATCATCCTATGCTTTGTGCTGCGCACGCATTGGCGCTAAAGGCTATACAATGTTTAACGCACGACAACGTCTGTAACAATAACATTCTGCATTGAAAGCAGTTTCTTAGATTTCAGTAATATCGATATCCCTGGTGAGCTTTTTCAAATGTTCGGGAGGTCACAGTTTTGTTATTACAGGTGTGGTAGTAGTTACCCGGTTAGTATAGATCACTATGCATATTCATGAGTCATGAACTTATAAATAAAATAAAATAAATAAA